ATGGCAACAGCTCCAACTCCAAACTGAACCTGTTCATGGCTCTGAGCCAAAGTCTCAACCATGGAACTCACAGGTCTCTGTCTTTGTCTCTTTCTGTATGTCTAGCTACATACATATGTGTGTGTATGTATAATGTGTATTATTATATGTATATGTGTATATATGTATATATTGTAGATATTATGTATATATTTATATATTTTATATGTATACATCAATCCATATATTTTATATACATGCTCATATACATATATTTGGGGGTGTATATGTATGTATGCATGCATGCATGTATGTATGTATATATTGGATTGACCAAAAAGTCCATTCAGTTTTTTCTGTAAAATAAAAGACGCATTTTTCATTTTTACCAATAACTTTATTGATTTTGACATTTTGAGTATGTTGGCTATCTCCTGTGGGGCATAATGTTGACTGGTCTCAATTAATGTCTCGATTCGATCGCTGTCCACTCCATCTGGTCCACCTGACCATGGAGCATCCTCCAGCAAGAAATTTCCAGCACAAAACTTTGCAAACCATTTTTGATACATTTGATCAGTCACGGTACCTTCTCCACACACTGCACAAATCTTTCTTTTTGAATTTTAGTTACATTTTTACCTTTCTTGAAATAATAAAGCAAAATATGCCAACAATATATATTTTATTCCATCTTCAATATTAAAATGGCTACACAAAAATTCACCAATTTTGATAAGTTTTGTTTTGTAAATGCATGCTGATATAACAGCTGTCACAACACAATCTAACAAAATTGTTTTGAATGAAGTGAAAGACAACTAAGCACTACTAGAGCCACCGTACAGAAAAAACTAAACAAACATTTTGGCCAACCCAATATATAGAGAGAATGTAGACCCGACCACTTTCTATCTTGCAAAGAAACAGCAAGTCATGTAAACGGCCACTTCTCTGTAACACATGGTCATAATTTTAGAATTGTTGTGTCATTCCACGGAATGACAAAATATGTGACACAAAAAGGATCTAGTACTGAGGACAACCCTAACATTTATTGAGCACGTCATGTGTTCCTGGCACAATCCCAGTCCCCACAACAACCCGCTGATAGAATGAGGATCACTATCACCCTTTCACCGATGAAGAACCTGGAACACAGAGAACAGAACTTACTCATCCGAGCTCGCATGGCTAGTACACAGGGGACTCCAGAGCCCGACTCCTAACCACTGTACTACAGGCAGACATAGACATCAACATAGCTCGGCCTCACCTAGAAAGTCTTCACAAGCAGTGACAGAATTGACTTCTACAGGGAAGTGTAGTAGTAAACGTGAGAGGAGGGCTGGGACCGAGAGGGGGCAAGGATGAAGAAGGCGGAGAAAGGGAATACCAGTTCAGGAAATGAGGCCAAGGTAAGAGGTAGCACCAGGCCAGACAACTTGGCTCAGGTGTGCCGGGAAGTGAGGCCAAGAAGGACAGGCAGGAGGGGCATGGCTCTCGCCTGGAACAACTCCACCCACTTTGTCAAACAAGAGACTTTCCCAGCCCAGAGTCCTGAAGTGGAGTTGTCCTGAAGTTATTTTTATTTCAGGGACAAGACTCAGACTGTCATGGCTGTTGTTGATGCTGAGGAAGAAGAAGAGGCAGAAGGAAAGGGGGAGGGGAAGAAAAAGGAGAGGGGGAGGAAGATGAGGAGGGTGAGAGAGAGGAGGACTCATCATTGCTGTTGGGGTCAGTTAAGAAAGCCCATTGTTTCAGATGCCTTTGTGAAGTCTTGGAGAGTGGGAGGGGCCACTGGCCAAGGATGCAACTTAAAGAGTTCTTAAAAAAAAGTCCACGTCCACCTGTGTGTCTTCCATCTGAAGGAGACAGAACTTGACCTTCCCCCACCTCCGTAGGGTCTCTCTCTGCCCTCAACAACCCCCCTGCAGTGCTGATGTGGCCAAACGTTTCATTACACAATGTTATAGATACACATTTTAAGACGTTTCTTACTTAGATGATGATAAATTGTCTGAGTTATTCATCCAACCTTCTTGCCTCTCCTTGCTTCCTCCTAGAAACACTGCCTCAGGTTCTTCAGAAAGGGGCTTTACATCATGTATGTCTGAGACTTGTATCTCTGAGAATCATAGTTAATGACAATTTAGGTATATCTAAAATTCTAGGTATGATAACATTTTCCTTCCATACTCTGTACACATTAGTCAATTGTCTTCCTGTATCCCAGGAGGCAGTAGAGAAGTTTAATGTCTATTTGAGATGGACTCTTTCGTAGGGACCTGCTTCCTGTCTCTGGACACTTTTCTCTTTGATATATTTAAATTTCATTATCATATGTTTAGATGTGTGTGCATGAGAATCTATCACATTTGGCATTCCACGCCCCCAACTAATCAGAAGGGTTGATTATTCCACTAAATCAGAAAAATCCTCAATAATTAGTTTTTCAAGTATTTATTTTCTCTCCTCCATTTACTCATTTCCCTCTTTTTGGGAGTCTTAGAAAAAAATATTGACACTTCTAATTCTACCCTACATATTGTTTTCTCTCTTTCTTTCCATCTCTTTGTCCCTTTCTGATCATTTCTGTAAGATAAATGGCCCAAATGTCCCTCTCAATAATTCATCCTGCAGCTGAATCCACAATGTTCTTCAACCCATCCATATTAGTGCTCTGTTTAACAATTATATTCTTCATACCTATTATCTCTAATTAGTTGTCTTCATAAATGTTGATTTGTACTTCCTGATCTCCCTGAGGGTATTTATTATGCCTGTTCTAAATTCTCGCTCTATTTGTTCCATTAGTTCTGCTCCTCCTGCACAAGTTGCTCCATTTGTTGGTTTCTTAATAGCACATTCACTCCTCAGATGTCTTCTAATTTGTCCCCAAGATTGCCCGCTCTGCCCACCTTGGGACTGCCAGCCGATATGGCCAGGACTGTCCACCTGGCTGGGGATGAAAAACCCCCCTGGGCCCCTCCAGGGTCCCCTCTCAGGGCAGAGCCCCTAGGTAGCTCTCTGGACTCACCCCCTGGGCAAGCTTGCCCTCATGGTTGGGCTGGGGTAGGAAGACTGCTCATGGCATCACTCATTGCCCTGATGGCTCTCTGGGACGTCCCCCCTGCTTCTTGCATTGCAGAAGACTTACCCATTGGACCATCATCCAGCCTAGGCAATGAGGGAAAGAAAAGGCAAGCTGGAAAGCCACCCAAGGCCCCAGCTCTGCCACTGTTACACCACACCGGTATCCCACCTCCCCCCACTTCACTGTTCCTAGGGTTTTCTCCCAGTTTCTATGCTGACCCCTGAGATCCAGCAACCTTTCTTTTGCACTAGTGGCATTTCTAGGTTTGGACGTGAAGACAGAGCTGACCAGCCTTGTTCAGACCCCTCCTTCCCTTTCTGAGTCTCCACTCCCTGCCCGCCAGGGCCTCTCTGGGGATGTGGCTTCTAACCCAGGGCCGTCAGAATGACAGACCTTCATGGAAGCAAGCCAGAATTTCTTCACGGATTCCGACATCTCCAAGTGAAGCCAGGCCACCAGAAGGCTGATCTTGTCCCCACCCTCCCACCACCCACAAGCCTCCAAAGAATTGCTCTGGGAATCTACTGTCTACCCAAGAAGGCAAGATTCCTCTGGAATTTTGTACCTGAGAAATTCCTCAGAGTCAAGTACTAACACCTTCCTTCCCTCAAGAAACAGATCACGTTCTCTCTGGTGATAAGAAAGAAATGTCTCCTTCCCCCTTCCTGCCTGGGCTGTTCTGAAGTTCTGAGCCAGGACTGAGGTGGGTTTTCATCATCTACATGGACAGACTCATGGCCCTCAGAGCAGATTCCTTTCCTTCTTGTTCCTGTCTTATCAGTAGCTCTTATCGACATTTTTGCTCATCTATTTCATTTATACCCTGATTGTAAAAAAAAAAGCAAAAACAAAAACAAAACAATAAAATAAGGGAGGCCTACTTTTAGAAATCCACAAAATGGGAAAGAGAAAGGAGAAGGAAAGAAAGTGATTGTTTGTACTTCCCTGGACCTGAATTTTTACTCTAAGCTATATTTTACCATCTTATTGTATGTGTTCCTGTTGCATGTCAACTCAATTCCACTGTGGAACGAAGCTGAATCTATAGAAACACACACAAAATAAGAATACATAAGGGCTGTGGGACATGACTTTGGGAAGAATCCCATAAAACAGAGGATGCTCTACCTATGGCCACCGATTACGCTCAGCCTTAATGAAAGTCAAGGTCTACCAGCGAGGGGGAGCCCCTGATTTGCAGCTGATCACAAAGCTTATGTAAGAATAATGGCAGCACCCACCTCAGCCGGGTCTGGGGCTTGAGCAGATTCATTAACAACAGGAAAGATGCCCCTTTTCACACATCTGCCCCTCCTCCAATCTACTTTCTTTTTTTAAAATCATTTTTTAATTTTTTTATTGTCCAAATACGTTTGTCTCCATTTTTCCGCCATCACTTTCCCCTGCCCCACTCCCCCACCTCCCGCCCCCACTCCATCCTTCCCCACTTTGGCTTTGTCCGTGGGGCCTTTATACATGTTCTTTGACTTGACCTTCCCCTTCTTTTCCCCATTACCCCCTGCCCTCTTCCCCTCTCCAATATACTTTCTTATTCAACAAGGATGCTGCCAAGCCTTTGTGAAGAAGGTGCGCGCCTGTCGGGATGAACATGCAGGCACTGTTTTAAGCCATCCACAGCAACGGCTGCCCAGAAGGTGAGGTGCCAGTGAGGGTGTAAACTGGCCCCTGGAGTGAGTCCCTAACCCCACAACCATTGACGGGGAGCAGCTCTCCAAGCCTCCTGAGAATTCCCACACCAGCTGGAGCCCTGTGGTTTCCCCAGGTATGTGAGGACACGTTGAGATTCCTGGCTGGTTCACGGCTGGCCCATAAAGGCTCACTTTCTCCCGCAGGTCTTCACTGAAGACACCAAGCTTCCTCCATGCCTCTTATCAAGGCTCTGTGAAAAGGTACATAGGCGAAGGGCTGTGTGAAAATGGGTAAGAAACAAATGCCCTTTGGCTACTAGAGAAATCACTGTCTGGGGAGTTTAATAGGACCAGGCAGCTGCCCTACACGGGCTGTGTGGACTCGCCGGGAACTTTTTTAAATGAGGTGTCTCCCTCCTCCAGGCCCAGGTGAGTGAAGGCACCGCAGAGAGGCCTCGAGTGCAGGGCCGTGTGTGTCAGGCGCAGCTTCGCCCTCCTGCAATGCCAGGGGTCTGGTCCTTCCATCTCTCTGTGCCCCTTCTCCCGTCTGTGAGATAGGGATTGAACTCCCGCACGGACAGTCGGAGAACGCGGCAGGAGGGGGCGAAGGATTCTAGACTTCTCGAAAGCGATCCATAAATACAAATCCTCCCTGTTGCTTTAAATGAGCGATAGGGGAGGTTATGAATCAAATCCTACGAAGCAACTGCACTTCAAATTCCAACCTGACTCAGTACCCAGGGAGAGCTCGCTGCTGGGGAAATGACTTCATAAACTGGAGAATCCTTTTGAAACATAATCATTCACTCCTTATTGCTCTGTTGTGTCAGTTTATAATTTGGCACTCGGCTTCTCCTTGAAGACTGGCAGGTGGGTTGCATCCTGTGTGAGGACCTGAATCCACAGTTACCTCAGAAACGCAATGTGCTGAGGGTCTGTGTGCTTCGGAGGTTGTGCTCAGAATCTGACATCAAATGGTCAAGGCTCAAACCCCAGTTCTATCTCTTTCTAGCTGAGCCTCAGTTTCCATATCTGTAAAGGAGGAAGAATATCCACCACATAGGGTTGTTATGAGGATTGAGGCAATAGAGCAAGAAAAGCACTTCAGACAGTGTTCAGCCCACAGTAAACATTCCCCAAGTGACAGCAGCGTTATTGTTAGAGCGTAGGGCCCCTCCCCTGCCTCTCTCTCCGAGTACACACTGTCATACACACATACCCACACCAGTGCCAGGACTACGGGGAGGCAAGCTAAGAGTCTAGGATGCAAAACCTAAGGAGGCACACACCCACCGGTCTGTGCAAATGCAAGAGCGAGCGCCTCCAATTCTGCGACCTACTCACCTTGCTTGCCTTACTCTTGTCTTCACGCATGTATACACGCACTCATTCATGCACATGCACATGCACAACAGATAAGAAAACGGAGACCTAAGGAAATGTAAGGAACCTGCGTCTTGTGCACGGCGACACTGAGGAGTCCAGCTAGATCCTCCTCCCCTCGCCCCGCTCTGCCCTCCCGGGTATGAGTGAAAGGATTCAAAAAAAGGACAACGACTCTGGATAACTTGGCCACATGGCTGCAACCGTGCCTGTAACTTGCAGAGGGGAGAGGTGGCAACTTCCTGGGCACCCAGGAAGCTTTCACCTCACGTAGATTCTCCCACTGCCTGTGAATGCGGCCAGCCTCGCTTTGGAGGCTGACCCCATTTTACCCTGAGCAAGACCAGTGCTCAAGGAGGACGCAGTGGGAGGGTCTGCTGGTCACTTACACAAGGGCCATTCCGATGGGTCGGTGTTCATGTCTCACTAGTGGTTACTTTAATACTAACCTGTGTAAAAAGAAGCTTCCAGAGGCCACAGAGTATTGACCTACCCTCAACAAGGCCACAAAGTCAAATTCAATAGGTGAAAAGTGTCTCAGTGTCTTTATAGCTCCTCAGAGCTTCTGTTCTTGACTCTCAAACCCGCTGCCCATACTCCTTCCCATCCTGGAGGAGCTACCTACCCAGCTGACAGCCCTTTGAAAAGCCATCATCCCAGGGTGCTAGGTGCCCCCCATTTTCAAGCCTGCTCTGCACAGGGCCAGGAGGTCTCAACACCAGCTCGACCGTGAGCCTGGATCAAAGCAGGGGAGCGTGAGACACTCAGGGCCACCCCCTGGTCGCATCAGGGCTTCGTCTTGCTGCACAGACAGTGACCTTCCCCTGACCAAGACTTTGACTGCCCATCCCTGCTGGGTGTCTGCCTTCATTTCCTGAGAACACTCCCACTACCAGGCTAGGACTGAGTTCAGTTGGAACACCCTGTACCCCTAGCTCCTTCTCCCCCCGGCCCCCCAGGCACATGCACAGCCCTGGCTCTTGGCAACGTCCTTTCCTCCACACTGGACCTTGAGTTCAGACTCTGGCTGGGTCTCTTCCCAGCTGGGCGTCTTGCTTCAGCTTCTGCCAAAAGCTGACTCTGAGACAAAGACCTGAGAGCAGGTAGCTGTTTGGAAGGTCATCTGAGGAAACTGTGAGGGAGCAAGGAAAGGAGATAAGAGAGAAAGAAAAGCCTAGAACAGACAGCCTAATGAGAAGTTGACGACCGTGGGCAAGAACCTCTGAGAGATGGCAGAGAACACAAACCTCAAAACTGACCGACCGAAGGCTAAAGACAGCTATTTGGCCACCAGCGCCCAACTGTCTGGGTGTGAGGGCTGATCTTGGGACCTAACTCTCCACCATGTGCACCTGGCTGTGTCCTGGCTGTAACTTCTGCAGCCCAGGAAGCCCTGCAGCCCAGAGGAGCAGGGGCGCAAGGGAAGAAGGCACCAGGGTGATCAGAAACTCAACCGGCGTGACCGATGACCTCCGGGGAGGCACAGATGACATCGCTTCAGAGCCAGCAACATCTGCTGCTGCGAACAGACTTCCTGAACCGGTAAAGTGTTTCTCTACATGTTTAAGGGCACTTCCTACTTGGAGCCTTTGTAATTCCCAGTTTTCCCCTCCCCCTCCCTTCCACCACCCTGGCCTTCAATTCTCTCTCTTGGAAAGCAGACTAAGGAAGGAGAAAGAATGAACGTCAGACACAGTAGTGGTCTGACAATTCCCTCCCACGCTTCACTCATAGCACCTCCATTGTCATAGGCCAGGCTTCTGTCTTTGGCTGGGCTCCCCAGAAGACACCCTGAGATGAACAGTGGTGTGTGCTAGCGATTTATTAAGGACATGCCCCCAGGGGAAACTCATGAGTTGAAGCAGCAGGAGAGAAAGCCGAGGAAAACCTCATCATCAGGAGTGGTCCCGGCCTGATCCCCCAGAGAGCTCTAGAGTGTAACTTACACCCCAGAGCTGCCCTGGGCTCTCCTCCTCCTGTACTGACAAATTATTGGGAGGGACCCCTTCAGAAGGAAATAGGTTTCCAGAACCTTCCGGTATTCCACCAGTGTGGGCAAAGCGGGCTCCACGGGCCCAGCTGCGGTGCCCACCATTGGGAATGAAAGGGCCCCTCAGAGTGGGAAGGGGACTTGGCAGGGTGCGCATGGGGCACCAGTGTCCTCTGCCACAGCTACCAGAAAAACTTTCAGTGGGACAGGTTTTGCTGCTCGGTTCCGCTTGGTTCCAGCGGACTAGACTGTCCCTTGCGGGGTTTTTGTTGGTTTTTTTATTTACCACCCAGTTCTGAAAGTCTGTAATTCTTGAGCACAGAGCAGCAGACCCTGGTGGGGGACAGGGTGCTAAATGATCCCCTCAGGACTGGAAATAGTTCCTAAGTCACACCCTACGAGTGCCTGGAGCAAAGGCCCAAACACAGCTGGTGGCAGCAATTTGCAGGTCCGAAAAATCGAGTCACAAAAATAGAAGAATGACTGAATCTCACCCATCAGAGATGGCACACAGGAAAGAAGGCATAGCAACTGCCCCCTCCCCCGCTTCCACCCCCTCCCTCTTTCTTTCTCTAGAGGTTTTGGCTGAGAATAGAAATTGAGAAGGTGCTGACTTGTGTGTTGCAAAATGTTCCCCATTGATGGCATACAACTGTATTTCGTTTCCATTTGATAATTCTTCAGAATAAGCCTTAAGATGTGCAAAATGAGAAATAAAGTGTAATTGCAAGGCGCTAAAAGTACCTTGAAAAAGATATGTCTCATCCTCTCTCCTCTGGGTACCAGTTTGAAGTTGGGTAAATTTTCTTGAGTCTTATGCATCAGGAAAAATATGTATGACAGAGTCAAATATTTACCTTAAAATATAAAAAATTCCATGAGTTCATCATTTCATACGTATTTATCCCTAGGGTAATGTCATATCGCAGGACATGGTCATATTTCCCTTAAAAAAAAAAAAAGACTTTGGACCCTACCTTGGAAATATCCACTTTTCATTCTCCAGATGCATTTTATCACTGGCAATCAGGAAGATATTGGAGGAGTGCATTCGTTTTGACTGTGCATAAAAAGGTAAACCTGTCCTTTCTGAATTGCCAACAGCAGAAAATACATTCAAGATCGAATGGGATGTCAAAACCAATTAAATTCTTGCTTTTGCTCATAACTATTTCAGGTAAGCAAGAGCTGAAACGTGTCAAGAGTGAGATCTTGGTGATACTAACTCCACTCACCCATTCAACCAGTAATTACAGAGTGTCCCGTATGAGCCAGCGTCATCCTGAGCGCTGGGGACACTGCGGTGAACAAAGCAGACCTCCAAGGAGCCTTCAAATGCTGAAATATTAGGCCCATCATTTTCCGAACCTGGCATATGTCTTGGAAAGATGTTTCCATTTTTAACACTCTGTCTGCCACTCTGATAAATAATGTTCTCTCAGCTTCCCACAAGGAGAATTAACTTGGGAAAACAAATCAGTTATCGCTTCACTCATTGTTACTGTAACAGAAGAATTAGTTGGTTTTTAATTAAGGCTGAGGGAGGGTGGGAGAGCAGTAGGCAGAGAAAGGCCCACGTGATTGGATGCAGAAGAGACGAGTCCCCTCTTTTGCTGTGGTGTCTAAAATTCTCGCTGTGAGAGCAGCTTCTGCAGGTTAAGGCATTTTATCCGGGAGGCCCAGCTCCATGCATTTCCTGCCTTGGAAACAGGTTAGCATCCACCAGCATGGCCTGAATGAGGTTTAACATCAGCCACTTTCAGGGAGGGACTCAGTAAGTATCCTTGTTCTGAAGGTGAGTGAGCTGAAGCTTGGAGAGGGGAGGCAGCGTGCTCCAAGTCACACAAATGTCAGACGGTGTCAGGACTCAAATTCAGGCAGTCTGATTCCGGCTGCTCTGACCCTTTCGCCTGTATTAACTTCTAACTCATAAAAAAGGGCCTGGACGTGTCCAGTAAATTTATCACCCATCTTTTTTTTTTTTTTTTAAATCACTACTATACTTTAAATTACACAAGGAATTCATGTTCATTGGAAGAAGAAGAAGAAAAAGAAGAAGGAAGAGGAAACGAAGACAAGAAATAAGGGAGAGAAGTAAAGGAAAATACAAAAGAAGGACAAAGGAGAATCTGTTGTGTTTCCAGCACCCATAGGCCATTCATTCTCATGCGAACGCACAAGAAGCTACGTAATAAACCTGACAAGCTGATGGGGGCCCAACAGCCTTCCTTACAAACTTGGAGACCAAAAGTAACCCCACAGGATCATCTGATCATAAACTCCTAACTGGACAGGCCCTGGTGAGCAGTCACTTCCCAGGCCCATCACTTCCTCAGCGAAGGTCAGTCTTGACCTTAAGGGAGCCCTGTCCATTGTTCTAAAGTATCTAGAAAAACATGCTTTCAAAATGTCAGAGTTATTCCCTTCCCCGGACACAAGACCTTGACATTCCCGCTGTGTTACCTTGTGGCCCGCCTGCCATCCCCGGGTACCGTGTCATCACTGCCCCCATGCCCACCAGGGTAGAGAGAGCACGTGTCTCTCCACTTTGCTTTTTACCCGTTCCTAGAGACTTCCCCCCTTTATCTTCTCCCGCCTCCTTAGGCTGACCACTAAAGAGTTCATGTAGCTTGCCTTGCATTTTTCTCCTTAGATTCTAAATGTATAAAATAAGCTGGAAAACAGCCATTCTCCGGGCATGTCCTCAAACTTGGCTCCAATAAGCGCTTACAAAGCTTTCTGCAAGTTTGGGCATTCTTTCCTCAACACTCAACAGGGACAGTGTGGCCCCGGAGGGCCCCAAAATTGGTTCTTATTCGGAGAAAAACTCCCTGTTCGTGTACATAAGATACAGCTATTTATCCATACAATACATGAACAGATAAATATTCAGTATATCTGTAGCATTAAAATTTCACTGGGAAGCAAAATTAGGGAAAAAACAAGAAAGGGGGAAACAAAGGAAAAAGGGGAAGGTCAAGTCAAGGAACGTGTATAAAGGACCCGTGGACAAAGCCAAAGGGGGGAAGGGTTGAGGGCGGGAGGTGGGGGTGGGTGGGGCACAGGAAAGCGGTGGTGGGAAAATGGAAACAAATGTATTTGGACAATAAAAAAAATTAAAAATAATTTAAGGATTTTTGAACAGGCTCCAAGGATGGTGGGGTAATAATTTTTTAAAAGTTGAGAAATACTGCCATAGATACTGATTGTAACATCTCAGTAGCTATCTGCCCAAGTTTTTCTATCATGCTATGTTTTCTTTTACAAAAAAATGGCATTATATGTGTCATACATTTCCATGTCTCTAAGCATTATTCATAATAACATTTTATACCATTAACAAAGCATTTGGCGTATGGCATCTCATGTGACTCACAGCCATTTTTCAGTTGAAGAAATTGAGCTTTAGAGAGGTGCAGAAACTTGCCTCAAAGTCTCTTAAGCAATATAAATAGCAGAGCCAAGATTTTAATCCATTTCTTAAGATCATTGGGTTTACCTTGCTATTTTTTCCTAGCCTCTTGAGTAGAAAGCTTATTTTATTTATTTCCAATTTCTTTTAACTTTCTAAGAAAAGCTATAAATGTTCCTCAGATATCTCGTAGGCTCATCCCAAAGTGTATATAGTTTCTCCATCAGACAGACACAAGATCTTCCCTGCATTTGCTAACTTGTTACCAGTTTCCAATGGGCCATTGAGAGAAGTGACTTTGTTAAACCTGCAGAGCGTTCTCCTTCCTGTGAACTTGTAGCTTCTTAGGTGATACTGCTACCTGTCCCTAAACAGGACTTCAATAGATTTCTGGCCCTTGGTCTGGCATGAGGAGGCTGTTGCAGGCACACCTTCCCTAGTGAACTCCTTTACCTTGACCTTGTTCTAGACCCCACACCCAGTCCCCACACTCGGGGGTCCTGTTCACAGAATCAGCGAGGGGCTGACCATTGGTTTAAATCAGCCCCAGGCAGCTGGCAGCAAATAGGCCTTGAGAAGAAACAACCATAAGAAACACTGGTCTAGTTTTTGCCGTGAATTCAATCATAGTTTTTGTTTCGATTTTTTGAAAAGGAGAAGATGGAAAATGTCTGTCTGTTCAAGTCCTGCCAGCCATAAAGTCGAAGGAGAGCAGTGTGTGCAGGTAGGCAGGTGGGTCCCAGCAGTGGAGGGTCCGCACAGGGCCAGTCCGGCCTCCTGGAACCCTGCACCCTGCAGGGGTGCCCAGGAAGAGGCACCGCACACAATCAGAACCTCCCTCGGTACATCACTCTCAGGACATGGACAGTCTGCCTCTGTCGCGGCTGTGGCTGGGGTTGGTCCGGGGTCTTCTGGGAGCCTCTCCCCACCGCCTGCACTGCAGACCACTCTCTGAGCCACCTTAGCCCCATCCAGGCGCTGCTCTTCCAGAGAGAGCAGTGCAGGAAAACAGCCTGCTGTCTTGTAAAACTTGTTCAGCTGGGAACTTGGCTACAAGGGTTACTATGGCAACCTGAGCAGATGCTTTGGGAGAAAACTGTGTTTCCTGTTGGAGTGTAGAGTGTGTGCTTGTGTGCGCACATGGGTGTGTGTAGCACAGAGGAAAAGGATGACAGCACTACTAAGAAAGGTCTAGCCACTCCACGCACGGCCCCAGGATTACCCCGCAAACCGTGTCCCTTATTCCCAGTTGAGTGGACTCCCGACACCATGGCAATTTCAAGACAAGATGAAGCCAGTCCTCTTCAAATGGTCTACACGAGACCCGCGCTGTGGAACTCTTCCCCTCAAAGTGTGTTTCCAGAAAATTTTATGGGAGTACAGTTTCTTCCTAATCTCTCAAGCCAGTGGACCTGCAGGTATCCAAAGATGGATGGGACACTGTGCCTGTCAACTTGGAAATGTTATTGGCAGGTGACAGGTATGCTGAGACTGCTTATGAGAACTGGGTGCATCTTTGAATGTTAATTTACTTAATCTTTGTGAAATTAAGTCTAGAATTTCTACAAGGTGTATCATCAGACATGAATTACAAATTTTAAATCTCGCATTTTCTCAGAGTTTGTAAGAATTTCTGCGTCCTCCTTACCTATTTAGGTAATCCAAGAGTTATATACACTTCGAGTAGTATTTACTTAGTACACTATTTTAAACTCTTGGATATAAATGTCTGAATCGCATGTAACTGTAAAAATGTGAAAGTGTTGATACTATATTTTCTTTAGAGACAAAATGAAACTCTACACAGATCCCTCTCCTCTCAGATATTAATAACAAGAGATGTACTGGGTGCTTATTATGTACCTAGCTCTGTTCTAAGTGTTCTATATGTTCTTATTCACTGAGTCCTCACAATAACAGCACAAAGTAGACATTATTATTATTATCTCTATCTTACGGAAGAGGAAATGCAGACAGAGATAGTCACTGGCAGTAATGGTGAGACCGGGATGCACACTGGGTGATCTGGCTCCACCGCCCTGCCCTGTAACCCTCCCTGGGGTCCTCCTGAGGCCAGGTCTGCCCTGGGGTGGGGCAGGGGGCGTAGGTCCCTGCTCAGAGGCCACCCCAGCACTCTTCTCTGTTGCTCTCCCTGCAGCTCTCTGGCTCTCCCCTCCCCACCCCTCCTGTAGATCTTACTTCCTTTGGGGTGGGACAACAAATTCGTTCACCATCCCACACTCCTTCGGAAACTATTGTTTAGGGTATCAACGTTGGGCTGCTGGTGTGCAAGTAGACTAGGATTTCGAAAGTCTTATCTCTCAGAGTTACAGCCTCTGCCACGAGCTTCAAAAGTTTGTTTTAAAACCCAAAGCTGAGCACTGGCTCACTCCTATCTCCACTTCTCAGTCTGCTCCCCAGGAGATAAGCCCCTGCCTCGTCAGCTCATTTTAGCGGGGGAAGGACCATAGATTAAAATGAATTAGTAGGAATGAAGATACTTCAATTAAAATTTCAAAATATTTTTCCTCTGCGTGTTGTATCTTGGAATAAAAAATTATTAATTGCTTTTGTGGGAAATTCATGAATAAGTAACCAGAATGTGTTAATATTTTAACTCTTCAGATCTGCTACAATGGCATATGTTATGCAAGGTAAGGCGATAGATCAGTTCTCTGTGTCAAAGTGCTTCTTGCAACATCTATTCTTCACAAAATCACCCCAGATTCTAGCCACACGACTAGAGACTACATGTCCCAGCCTTCCTAGAGCTGGGTGTAACCATTTGACCAAATTCTGGCTCAGAGCACTTCTGCTTACTGGACTTGTGAGCTTGAACAGGTCCTAGAGTCTCAGTCACAGAACATCAACACCAGAAAGAACCATGGAGATAAGCCACTTTGAGTAAAGGCAGGGGATGGAGAGATGGACCAAAGACCAGAACTGTGAAGTGAGTTTCCCAGGCTCCCCATGAGCAATTGAAAGGACTGGATCTTGAACACAGTCATCTGCTGGCTATAGAAAGTCCTTGACACTACCCCACAGATCTCTCCCCTTCTCTCCCCTAAGTTTCAGCTTTTTCTTCTGCAACATGAGGCAAATAAGAGCACATAGGTAGTAGATAGAGTGAATATTCGCCTCTGCCAATTCCATTCCACCCCTCCCCACTGGGTAGTGAAAAATTGACCCTACCTTCAGAGGAAGACCCTGATTAGTCTCAGCCAATTTTAGTAACTTCATTTCCCCTGCAAGTGATTGATTCAGCAGCTCAGGCCTAAGCTAATCAGCACTTGGCGTTCTCCGGGTACACAGTTATTGGACTAGGCATGGGCACGTGACCATGACCTACACTGAACCAATGAGGATTAAGGAAAGATTTGTTTCTTGGAAAGGAAGACATGCTTTGTTTCCTTTTCTCCCTCTCCTTTCTCCTGTCCTCCTCCTCTTCCCTTTCCTCCTTCTCTCTCCACCTCCTCTCTCCCTTCCTGCTTTTTCTCTCCAAACATAAAGGAGCTCACCTGGAGTGCTAATTGAGACCAGTAACCATCATACAACCTAAATTATTCTTGCCCAGGGTTATGAGCTTAAATGAGGCAACATTCAGCACTTAGCCCAGTGCTTGGCCCATAAAAAGTGCTCAGATGACAACAGCCAGTCATACAGTGACAGTCTGTCTGCATCTCTCCTGACTCATAAGGAAATCACCACGTGGTTCCATTCTGTTCAATCTTGGTCAAGGTGTAAGGGACCTTGATGCCCCATCCCATGCAAGTAGTTCAAATTCCCCAACCTCTGTCCAGAGGGGCATCAGGGGGTCCTGGTGGATTATTTTCCAGCCTCAGATGAGGGGGCGTCCACACTTAGGGAGAAGTGGGTACAGCGCCCTCCCAGTTCTACCCCATTCCTCATCCTAAAGACAGGAGGGCCTTCTTCTGCCCCTCACTCTGAGCATTCACAGTCCCCCTGCACCTTCCCCCGCAGGCGGCCTCTTCCTCCCCAGCGCACCAGCCCCAGTTGTACCTGGTTTGGGGAGCAGGAAGCCTTAGTCGGCTGCACGTATCCTGTTGGTCACTGTGGCCTGCAGTTTCCTTAAGTCTTTGATTCTGCCTCATTAGTGGGAAAAAGAGTAGCTTTCCATGTACCTGTGAGAGAAAAGGAGGGGCAGGAAGAAATAATAGGACACATAAAGATAGATTCTGCACCTTTTCAAGAAACAAATGCATTCACCCATTTGAAGCATCTAATGAAAGCATCTGGTTCATTACAAGGACCTACGTCATAATTATTTGTTATAGAGTCATTGCAAACATGGCCCCAATTCTCTGCCTCGGCTCATATATTTGCTTCTTTGCAGTGTGACTTTGCTGCTCCTCCCATCAAGAGGTGGAGACTACTTCCCCTCCCCTTGAATCTCGGTGAGCTTGTGATTTGCTTTGGCCAATGAGATGCGGAGAAAGGGATGGAGTTCCAGAGTTGAGCAAGGCCTTTGGGTGGCCTTGTGTGCTTTTTCTCCACCTGAGCACCCTGCCTAGCTACCACAAAAATAAGCCCAAACCAACCTGCTGGAGGATGGGAGATCACGTGGAGGAAAGACAAGCCAACCCCGGGAGTGCAAACGCACGTGTGAGCCCAGTTAATATCAACAGAAAATGCGCAAGGTTAGCAGAACTGCCAGCCAACCCACAGATTCATGACCTGGAATAAATGTTTATTGTTGTACGCCACTGAGTTTTCTCTGGTTATTTTTTAATGCAATATACTTGTGGCAATAACAAACTGATATGTTGGGATTTTTTTTAACTGTTATTCTTTTAAACAGACAGTTGGCTGAAGAGGAAGGAGTAATTCTGTGGGCAGGCTGCCCCGGCAGATGGAGCCCCCTGGTCAGGCTGTTCACGGACTGGAGAGATGGGGACGGTGCACCAGGAAGAAGACAGCACCTCCGCCTTTGCCACCGCGGCCCTGCACGGGTCAGCGGTCTTCCCATCTTCGCTCGCGCGCACAGCGCCAACGCTTTTGAAGAACAAAACACCCCATCACCTATTTTTAAGTTCATGTGTAAAAGTTTTCCTAAGTTTAGTGATTGCAAGGGATATAATTTTCTGCAAATGTTGACATTTAAACATGAAACTATCAGCCTTTTAAAATATTAAAGGGAACCTGGAACTCGTAATAATCTCATGTTCACCACCCAATTTAAAATACATGAATAAGCTCTTCCGCACTGTTGAGACATTTTACTGCTTTTGCTTTTCTCCTGGAATTTATATTTCTTTCCTACTTCCTTCACAAACCTTTAACATAATTTAACACTTAAAATTTGAAAATCTTTTACTGATCAGCCCATTATACATTTAAGAAACATTAAATATATATTTTAGTACATTAAAAAATGTATTTGATTCTTGTGACCTTAAAGCTCTCTGTATTTTTTTTTAAATGCTTCTGAATTGAATTATCACAACACCTAACAAAACTGCAAAAAAGTTACCAATTTTGGTGACTTTTTAAACATAAAAAGTTGAATATAATTGGAAATGCATCTCCTAATGAGATGAAATATGGTCTAACTTTTTATATGCATTTAATGAAATAGAAAGATATATTCTACTGAAAACTAATCAGTCTAGAAGCTACAATAATATTATTCTTGTTAATGGGAGGTAGAAAAGATTATATATTTTATATGGTAAAATAAAATGAGCATTAACTATCATTGGATTATTTTGGGATGTGATTTCATAAAGAGAATTTTAAATTATCTTCCTGAATAGCATCCAAAACAAGTTACTTAAAATTTTTATCTGTGGGTTTTACTCGATGTGTCCTGAGAATTGTGAATGTCTTGGCCAGCCTTTCAGCTCTATTTAAACGAACCAGTGTCACTAAACTACATTCTCAGGCTGTGCTATGCTGTTCTTCCTTTCAGCTGAAGACCTGACCTGGGATTAGTACTGAGCGTGGTTGGAAAGCATTGCTTACATTTAAATACATTTTTTAAGGCTGAGTTCTTTTTCCTTTAGCACTCAATGCTTCTGACTAATGCTCTCTTCACTTTGCTGTCATTGGACTCTCCTTCAAGAAGGAAAATTATCTTGGCTCCTACCACTCAGGCTACCATATGTCCATATTCAGAACATCCTAACGTGTCAAAATGCTATTTCTTAGCCCATCTTTCTCCTTAACTTAAAATGCATAAGATGGGGAAATACGAGAGTCCACAGGGTAATGGAATCCTGATGAAGCAATAAAGGACTTCTCCCCTTATTTTCTCTATTCTTCCTGAGGTTTTCACAGTCAGATGGGGGTGGGGGCCAGTGAGTGAGAGGTATGGGTTTTTTTTAGTAATAAAGTAGCAGCACAAATTTTGTAAACTCAAGAGTGGTCTCATGCACATCAAATGAGAAAAATGTGCTTATGGAAATTAAGGAGCTAGAAAATGATTCCCTGAAAACAACCGATGCTCCGTGCCCTTTGCAACCTTTTCGCAGGCGCCTAGGGGCTGCTGCCTTCCTCACTGGGCGCTTTCCTACCTATGCAAAAGGTCCTGCATCCACCGGCCTGCTCATTGTACCCCGCCACACTGGGTTGAAGGGAAGAAAGAGGACTCCCATGTCCATTTTACACAGGTGTGGACAGAAGGCAGGGAACATTAGATGACTGTCCCAGAGCCTTGTATGCAGTCAGGGACAGCACCAGGATCCCCAATCCGGGGCTCAGCCCTTAGATTAGGACCCGTCCTGGATGCTCTAATGTGTTGACTGAGGGTCTTCTGTTGCCACCCCGGTCCAGCCTGAGGGTGTGGTCCTGCAGTGCCTGCACCTATGAGACTCCAGGGAAAGTTGAAATAACATTGATAAGCTATTCATAAAGAAATGTATCTGTATTAATTGATTGATGAATACATAGATAGATGGATCGACAGAGAGGGGCAGAGAGAAAGAGAACAAGTGATTACATAATTCCTGTTGATTACATAATTCCTGTTAGGACTGCATATTTCCAGCATAAAAAAAAAATGAGACAGATATAAAATACCATATTTTGGCTCTCACTTGCAGTGTATGAAACTGTCTATTTACCCATGACCCTATCAATAGAGAATGCCATCAGACTTTTAAATATTCACCAATCCGAAGAGTTTAAAAAGGGCTTCTTGGGTGGTTTTAATTTTCAGCACTTTTATATTTGGTGGGAAGACAGCACATGTTTGCAAAGCTGTCAGGAGGGGACCCAGGCTGTTGGGGGTCATGCCTCAGCCACGTGGAGACGACCAGTCTGGGAGACGGTCAGCTGCAGGGAAAGGGAAGCAAACCTGATAGAAAAGGGAGGGAGAGTCCCCGGCTCTAGGCACCGGCCCCCGCCCACACTGGACTCCTCAGCCAGTGAGTCCCCTCTTCAGATTTAAACTAGTTCAAGCTGGGGTCCTGGTGACCTGCATCTGGAATGAGGATGCTCACACAGCCCCTTCAGGCCGCTTTGGTCCGGTTGCCGGGTGGGCCCGCCACCCGCCTGGCCCGGGACCAGCACACCCATGAGAAGGCACCGCACAGCCCCACGGAAGCTGTCTGGTGGTTTCTAATACACAGTGAACAGACAATGGCCATGTGGACCAGCAGTGTTGCTCCTAGGTATGTACCCCGGGGAAAAGACTGCCTATGTCCCCGAAAGATAGAGCTGCTTTGATCATAGTAAACAAACCCTAGAAATTGCCCAAATGCCCATTAACAAGAAAATGAAAAAAGAGAAGAAAAAAACAGGCATTTCTTCTGACAAAAGACCACTCAGCAATAAAAATGAATAAACTACTGGTCCATGTGACATCATGGAAGAATCTCACAGGCATAACATTGAGCAGAAGCCAGACATAAAAGAATACCTTTCATATGTTTCCATTTTTAAGAAGTTCAGAAAGAGGAAAACCAGCCTACCGTGATGGGGTCACAACACATGCAGCCCCCACAGAGGGTGCATCCTGGAAAGGTCAGGGGGGGCCGCTCTCTGGGGCAATGAAATACCCCATAGTTTGGTTGGCGGTAGTTACGTTGGGTGTTTGCAACTGTCCAAATTCATCAAGGTTTACATTTTTCAATTATACCTAAAAAAAAAAACCAACAGTAAAAGAATATCATTAACAACAACATAAACCACTGTAGGGGACCGAAGCAGCACATTAGGGGATCACTTCCACCAGCCAGAGGTGACCCTGAATCTGTCCTGGCCAGACGGCAGCCCCTGTGTGTAAGAGGTGAGGTCTTCATTCTCAGCAGGTCCCCAGCTCCCCACGAACACTCCTCAGAAGCAGTGTCTCTCACCCGGCTTTGCTGCTCAAATGTTGTCCCTGCAGGAGGGGCTGGTGTCCAGGCAGCCCAAGGCTCTGGATCAGACAGACGTCCCCACCCTGGCCAGCCCTTGGAACCTGTGTGAAGGGCATGGCAAGGGCTGCCTTGCAGGGTCATTTTGGTGGTCCCAGATGTCAGGATACGAGGCTGGACATCATCCATCCTGTACGCATGAGGGCCGCTTTATGATTTGTTAACAGGAACCACGTGCACAGAAGGCCAGGCCCTGGCTCCGGGTGGGGAGGGGAAAGTCAGGGGAGTTTTGTGCCCTCCAGGCCAAGTCCTGAACGCCGTACTCCAGGTGAACTAAAAGCTCTGCAGCAGATTCACTACAAGTGGCTCCCACCTTCTTTCAGCCATTAGGGGATCGTGTGGAACAGGAATCTTGGGTCCAAAGCCTCACCCACGCCTCCCTGCTAATGCCTGGAATCCATCTCCAGTGTTTTAAGAGAGCCGTGGGGAGGACTTCCAGGGGAGCGTGGGGGGTGGGAAGGCTGGGCGGAGTGGGGACTCTGACCACAATGGCAGCACAGAGGAGCTGGAAGGGTCGCAGGGAGAAGGAAGGCGATTGTTGAGAGGTCCCCAAGGGTGACGAGAACGCAGGACTCCAGGGCAGACTCCGGTGTGGTTTGGGTGAGGGCCTGGGTGCCGAGCACAGCTGTGGCTGCATCACACGGGGCCATAGCTACGGGCCCCTCATGGCCAGTGAGCACTTGACATGGGGCTGGTGCAACAGAAAAGCTCTACTTTTAATACCATTTAATTTTAATTAAAGTGGAAACGGAAAATCTGAAGATAAAAATATTTTCCACTGAATACAACTTCATTTGAGAGTATCACATATCTTGTATCATAAAAATTGAAAAACCAAAATTCCTTCACCTGGTTATTTTTAATGTGACTACTAGAAAACTCAAAATTATGTAACAGGCTCGTATATGCCTCCATTGCACAGCGATGTCCTAAGAGGTTAATACACCGGGTTGATTCCACTCTGGCCCGTCCCAG